TTTTATTTATTTTAAATGAAATTATTTGTCACTTACTTGACGTGAATTTCATGTTCATTGTGGCGTTTGTCTGCATTTTCAATAGGCATGGGTTGGCATCAGCGCCGGTAGTAATGCACTCATTGACAGATATAGCGGTCACTTTGCCGTCGATTGAACCGCAGTCCGTGAATACCACACAATGTGTGCACCGATTGGTCAACAAAATTAGTGTCAAAACTATTGTAATTGATTTCATTATAGCTATAGATTTTGTTTATTGTCTACGAAATTAATATATAATTTTGATATATCTTAAGATTAAGTTTAAAATAATTCTTAATATATAATATTTGGTGTATTTTTGAGCACCTGTTCCTAGTATTCAAGATAGTTGCTAAAGGGACAGACATTTTATGAATTAACCTAGCATTGTAGAGGTCATTGTGATAATACAAAACAATTTTATATAAAACTTGAGTTTTAAATTTTGATTATTAAATTTTTATCATTTTAAATGAATGTCATTATTCAAAGTTTTAATAAAAGCATTTTTAATTAGAGATCATTTTAATAAGCATTTTAAATGATAAATTTATTTGTTTAAATACTTATAAAACGTAAAAGTATAGGATAAAATAGTTTTTAAAAATTTAATTATTTGTCTATAAGCTTTATTTTTAAACAATAGTCGTAAGTTACTTAATACAAACAATAATGACAAAATGCCAAATGTATTTCCCATTTAACAAAAGTCATTTACTTATGAAAATGATATCACATTTTGTACCTATGGTTTAAAATTACGTTAACCCACAGACAGTGCGATAAACAATGAATAAAAACTTTATTTTATTAGTAAATGGGTTATTGACTTACTGGAGACATAGTGTTATTTGAATAAAAAGTGAAAACATTACTATTTACTACTCAATAAGTCCTTGAAATGTACACATTTGCCATTTACACTTATTCATACCTACATTTCAGCATTATACAATAACATTATATTATTCAATATAGCATTACTCTGTAATGATTATGCATACCTCAATGTTAAGACAAACAAAAAACTTTAATAAAAATTCTGTAATAAATTTCTACCCCCACTTTGTTGCCTGGTAACCTTCAGGAATATATTCATTACGTTATAAAGTGCTCTTCACTACTGTATAAGTAATCGATTGAATACAGTAGTGATATAATTGTTATTTTATACTAATATAAAATAATATTAATAATATTGAATTTTGTGATATGTTTGCATTGTAGGATTCATTGACTTTCACTAATACGCGGGACTAATAAACTATAAGCTATTTAATTTGCTATTTTGTATAGTAATAACTGGTGTGCCTCAAAATCTATAGAGTATAATAAGGTAATTGAAAATAAATATACATTGTAGATATAATAGTATAATCAAGGCACTGAACTCCAAGTTAATAAAACTTATTCTTCCTTGATAATCAGTGAACAAATACTGGGGATTACTTCCGGATTAATGAATAAAAATAGCATTTTAATGAATAAAATATTTCTAGACAAATTATATACATAAGAATTTATATAAGAAGTTATGTTATAAAAAATGCTACAATTCATGCATTCAATTAAAATTTATACTAAAATTTATTTTTAATAATTCATACTATTATAGTAATGCCATATTAATAATGAATAGATTAAAAGGTTATTTGCGAGCATTTGTGCGAAGGTTTAGTGTTTATCACAGAATACAAAGTATTCACAGAATATTTGCCAAAAACAAAAAGTCATTAACCCTTTCGCCTATTAAGGAATCAATAGGGAGGGGAACGGGTAGTCGTGTTATCGTAACACCAATAAAGCTATGGGTTTGGGAGTCTTGGCTCGCAGTCAACTCAACACTGATAGGCTCCGGGAGGGAACGGCATTCAAATGAAGGCTAACGGGTATCGAGAGTGAGTGAGTGAGTGATAAACTGACATTACCTACAAAATTCTGTGCTATAAATTCAATGCACTTTCCGATATCGCGTTCACTATTAGTTTTACCACACGTTTAGATAAACTGTTTTTCTCTGGAGTTTATGCGCAGAATATCCTTAGTATCCATACATTGTGTAAACAATATTTCATATTATTTTTGGCTTTAATAGTAAATTACTGAGTAATTTGTCATTTAAGAATCGGGTTTACATTAATATTCAAGAATATTCTGTGAATAACTAATTATATTTTGTTATAATAGCTATATTTCGCTAAATATGCCACAAATTGCAGCCAAAAACCTGTGTTTTAATGATAACTATACTAATAATCATAGCATTAATAAGCGTTCATTAGGTCTGAGAAGTGACACTAAAATGCGTCAATCGATGGACAGGTTTGGCGACGACTTGTGTCAACTGATTCTCAGTTATCTGCCATTTGAGGACCGGTTCCGCTATGAATGTGTGTCCAGACAGTGGCGACGGTTGATATTCCGGAGCCAACGGGTGCTGACACTGGAGTACAACTGGGCCTCGTTTTTCCTGCCGACCCTAAGGGAGGGACTGGTGTTTGCCACCAATCGGTCTATACTTAAGAAGTGTCAGCAGATCACTGAGATATCGGTCAACCGGTTCGTCAACAACCGGGATGTGGTGTTTCAGGTGATCAACAAGTATTGCCATAACCTGTCGGCCATTGAGTCCGACTTCGATGGTATGTCCGCCCGGACTGTCACCGCGTTTTGTCATACATTTGGCGCTCAACTCAAGAAATTGACGTTTCATTCAAACAATGAGACAAATCGGGAGGTGTTTCGCAGATGTTTGCGAAGTATACACGTCTTAAACATTAGACCATTCAATGATCTCTCGTTGCTTTTCACTGGTAATGAGGTTTTGGTGCATAAGTTACGGGAGATTTGCTTCACGTATAGCAACGAAGACTCGCAAAGAATCGGAATATTCTGTGAGACAAACAAACAGACTCTGGAGTCGATTGAAGTGACTTTTTCGGCCAATTCATTGACACCAAAGTCTATCAACCAGTTGTTCAAAGGGCTGTCCAAACTGTCGGAACTCAAGGTACTGGTGATCAGCTGCCAGTCGGAAGTGGACGACACGCTAGTCTGCAAATGTCTGCAACTATTGGCCGCTAAATGTCTGAAATTACATAAAATAAGTCTAACGCTAAGCAAAAGTCATTATTCATTTAAAATAAATAAAATATTTTTTGCAATGTTTTAGACGTGGATTCAAAGTCAGCTATGCTTACGATCTATGGTATTGTGAGTATTTAAAATATATTAGAAATAATTTTATTAATTATTAATTTTTATTATTATAACTAACTTATAGCTCGAGAGTGGCCCGGCTGTTTTCTATACATCAGCGTACGTATCATACATTTATAATAATTATTTAATTGTATAAATATTTATTTTGTTAATCCAGGGATGCGTGTAATAGTGAGTTCACATCGCTCAAATGTCCCCTCACCAAAAGCAGTGAGAATATGCTGGAGATTACACTACCGGTGCCCAAACTACACCATCAAATCACACCAATGAACCTGGATGTGTTGTTGTATTTGCAGGACACTGATGGCAAGAATATCACTTGTCAGAGGTTCCCGGCTAAGATTCAGTGATTATTGATAACTAACTATGAGTTGGTTTTCATATTAAGGTTAATTATTGTGCAAACCTGATGACAATAATAGAAACTTAAAATACTGTCCATTTGAATGAAAATAAAAATTCACTAATTGTATTATCAAACATAATTATCATATTAAAATTAAGTTACAAATAGAATTTTCAAAATAATTTTCAAGATATTTAATAAGTTTACCAGGAATCAATAATTTTAGGATACATGTATATTACGGTTGCATAAATGAAAATTCTTTCACTACATCACCATGATCGATAAACTCTTTGACATTTTTCACTTTATTGAACTTGATAATTTTTGGCTTAGTTTTCAGGTCACCAAATTTATTCGCTTGACTCTCATCAAGTATAGTATAATCGACGGCTGTGAAAATTGTATCCTGAGTAAACTTTGCCCTATCCTCAATAAAACCTCTGAACAGATTGACCGGAGTGTCATCAAGGTTCGAGTCATCGTAATTGAAAAATAAAATGTAGACATCATTTGCATAGTACTTCCATAGATATTGTTGCAATACAGTGTTTTTATTGAGAATAGTCACATTCATACTTTGCATTAATTTAATTAATGATATTTCTCGCTTTATATGACCTAGTTCATATAATGTTAATTCTACCTTGTCGCATGCATATGGATCATTATCGGCATCTAACAATAACTGTTCTAGTTTATCGACACTTTCATTTCCCGATCGCACCTGGATCAGATGTGCAGCTAAGTTTCGTTTGATACTCGTCTCATATAATTCAAAATTATGTTTTAAATTAGTGATATTTTTGACCTTGCTAGTTGCGATATAAGGCTCCATGGTCAGAACATCTGTTTTCAAGTCGGATATTTGTTGGTCAATAAAATTCATCTGGTCAAACAATTCGACACACTTCTTAATTGTATCCTCGCCAATTTGCTTATAAAACGCATTTGCAACTAGGTCAGTTTTCCACAGTTTTCTCAACTGATCAACCGGTATCAAAGTGTATCTGATTGCGTTCCCTTTGCCGCCATTCGTCTCCTTAATTAGCCCGGGTGCTAGTTTCATGAACCTAATGGCTTCTGTCACATTTTCGACCGTCTCATTCATGACAACGTCACCGAATATTTCAAACTCGAATTTATTAAGCTGATTTTTTTCGTCCTTGTCAAAATCCACCTCGACGCCACCTGTCAATTTAGCAATCACCACATTCAACGAAGCTTTTAAACTACCCTCCACATGTTGCTTATCCTCTTCCTCATAATTACTGTCCTCGACGGAAACGAACACATTGGCGCCCCATTGGGTACCCACAACCACGTGTGTTGCAGCAATTTGTGCTAGGACATCAGTGTCAATCGATGGATGTAGGTCCATGTTGTTTATAGTAATTTCTTCATATAATGTCATTGCTGAATGGGTTAGGGAGACCTTGGCGCTCCGGTAACTGGACTTGGTGTCTTTTAGGAATTTCGCCGAACCTTCCATCGAAATTAGACCACCAAGCACGCTTAACTTTAGCGATGCCGTTACGCCGAGGTGCTCAAATTTCTCTTTATATGTATTGACCTGGATAAATTTCATTTTTGATTCTCCATTGTGTGTGGTGATTATACAATGGTCAGGAATTTTGTTTTTGAACAGGGAAATACCCAGGAACTGTTCGCTCCTTGCATCGTACAGTTCCCCTAATTGGGCCACCCTTCCAACTGCCGTCATTTCGATTGGACCGCTTGGATCCTGGTCATGAAAGTGATTTTTTAATTTTCAAATTATAAATGATTTTTTAATTTTAGATTTAATTGAATTGGTTCGAATAAACTCTAGATTAATATTTTTACTTTCTACTAATTAAATTTAATTTAATTTATACAGTGCACTTTCCATATAGTACCTCTCCTTATAGTGGACGAAATATATTGATTTGGCGGCCACTGTATACCTATAATGTTAATTGACTCCCTATACAGTGAACTTCCATATAGTGTATAATTCTATATTGTGCATGCAATTTCAACGTTTAAGTGACTGTAACTCTCTATACAGTGTATATAAATAATAATTTCAAGCAATAATATATAGCGATTACTGTAATATAAAGTTTAAAATGTTTAAAAATTATATATTTTCACAAAACAGTTTTTAAAACATTTCAATAATAATTTGTTTCTATTGGTTATGTGTTAAAACTAAGATATGAAGAGGCCTATTCTGAAGGGTTCAATGTGATTTATTAATGAAATTCATAAAAATAAAGTACCTATAATTAAATATTTATTTTAGTTAACCAACAATATGAGTCTTAATTGAAATAATTCTAATTTAATATTTAATTAGTTATTAAACTATTGATTAACTTTTATTTCAAATAATGAAATATCAATATTTGATATCAAATACTCAATACAGTATTGTTTACATTCTGCATTCATAGGCACATTAGCCTTTCAGAATTTAGCTTTTCATATATTGTGATTAAAATGTCTCATAAGTACCGTATATGTCTATTGTTTTATTATTGAAATTGATAATCATTTTGATTATGACATAAATTTTGATTTAAAATAAGATTTTAAAATTTACTTACTTATTTGAATCAAAAATTATATTTCTTTAGTCAACAGTTACTGTACTTTATATAAAATAATGACAATAATAGTTATTATAAAATGTTGATCAAAGTTATAAGCAGAACATACGGATATATATTTTTTAAATCCAAATTATATTTAATTTATGATTATTTTTTTAAAAGTAAATGATAAAACTTATTTTAATTAATAGTTTATATCACAGTATCAATTAACACAATAAAATAATTGACTTTTAAATTTAAACATTTTTTGTCATTATTCCTTATAGTGAACTCTCCATATAGTGCACGAAAATCTTTGTCACCAAGTCGTTCACTATATAGAAAGTGACTATATAAATATAAATTCTAAGTTTAATTTAATTTTAGCTAACATACATTGAATAGAAATGTTCTTTCGTATTGCGATTGAAATCGCTTGATATATAATCATTTAGCATGGTATAATAATATCCAGGTCCGGTAATCTAACTGAAAGCCTTAAGTGGTTGGGCAACAAATCTATTCAATTTTACTGTTAATTATTATGCATTTGTTCAGTACTTGAACTCTATCTCGTTTAGTATGTGTATTAAATAAATTTTATAATAAGAATGTATGGTTTTTATAGCGAGCGACAAATGCAACCACATATTTGAGGGACGTAAGACATTCCGATAGATCACCGGACCTAGATATTATTATAGGGAAACATAATAATATTGGGACCAAATTACAATTATACATAGTTTTCTAAAATATATTTATTAAAAATTAAAATCACTAACAGACCATAGTTTATTCTGCTAAATTATTGCTGCTCATTTTCGCTAGTCAAAATACAGTATACTAACAAAGGTAATAAATGTTAAATATATTAAAAAACATATATTTGAATTTAAATTCTATATTTTGTTGTAATATAAATTCAAAATAGTAATTCTATAACTTACCAGATCATGTTGGACAGCATTGCACACAGCGAGTTTATTTGTCAAATTGTTTGTTAATTTTATATTAAAATTGTAACATGGTTGAATATTAACACATATATATAAAACAATTATTATAGGAATATACATTTGATTAGTAATATAAAATAACTAAGAATTCAAAAAATTCTCAACTTATTGTTAATTTTATGTTGAAAATAAATTTAATATAATAAATCAATAATTTTTGGATAAAGAATAATTTTATTATATTTATTATGATAATAAATTATAAAGTGCATAACATTCAAAATACAAAAGTTATAAATGTAACTAGTACATTTCGGTAATTGGTACTAATATTGGCAACCAATACTTTATGGGTGTCATACTAACTGTATTTGATAAATAAAATTTAATTTCATTTACAATCTCATATACAATCAATTGCAAACCCAAACAAAAACCTTAATAATGAATTGAATTGGACTAGATTGAATTATTGAATTGAGAGTGTCTTAATTCTGTTTGTTTGCGGTTTGTCTTTTATCTATAAGTGTTAATTGGCGGCAATATGCTTTAAATATAAGAGCTTTTTGAAATTCACGTAGATCGATAATTTTAATCCTAAAGTTAATCTTTATTTTTTGAAATATTTCACTTTCAATAACACTTCAAATTAACGAGATAAAATATTTAAAAATTTCCATTTTATTTGAAGTTATAATTAATTATACAAAAATTAAACATATAAATTTAATTATTAATATGACACTATATTTAACCAAAATTTTGTTGTTTCTTGTGTATCTACTAGATATAGTGGGCATGATCATAATTATGCCTAAAATTGTTTAAATTAAATAAATAATTTAATTAAAATTACCTGTTATTATGATACCATAATCAATAGTTTTATAATATTTAAGATATAATCATGAATTGTATTTCAAAACAATATGCACCTACTATAACCTTTGTTTTAAATAGTTTTGAGCTGTAAATGTTGAGTGATTAATATATTGAATATTGTTTTATCTGTTTTCAAGAGTTCATATATTAATTTAATAATAAATTATTATATCTATGACCAATTATATTAATACATATAAGTTACTAACAGCTATTTAAGTTATACACAAATAAATAAAATTAAATTAAATTAATTATTTTTCAATATCTAATAATAAATACAAAATGCATATATTAAATGCATTTCTTATATTTATTGCTATAAATAATAAATTTTGTTACAATGAAATTATCAAAAATAATGAAGAAATTGTAAGAAATGGTAATCAAGGAGAATTGGTTTGTTAAATACAATTATTTACTATTATTATATTTTATTATAAATGATTTTATACATTTAACTATAACTATATTTTATTTATATAGTTTAATGTCGAATAACAACCTTTTTCCATCCTATCATATTTTTATGTAAATTTATAAATTATAACATAGATATATTCTGTATTAAATTTATGCAATAT